ATACTGTAGCAGCTACTGTTCATCGAAAAAAAGTTTTTTATTACTTTTTATCATTACTTTCTATTTGTGTTTTATTTCTTTCAGATCCAAGGAAGACGAGTTCTGCAACAAGCATCGATCGACGACCGGCCAGCATATTGATCGACAGAGCATCACGAGTATCGATCGATCGCCACTTAACTGTGTTGATCGACGCTCACCATCAACGAGCATGTATACCCTTTTTTCTTGTTCAGTTTGGGACTTATTATTTATTTCTCCACCGATCTTAGACTCTATAACACTAGCGATAGTGTTTTTTAAGTCTTAGGGAGGTTCTACTAATATTTGTTTTATTTTGAGTTTTATGTCTAAAATCCAAGGAGATGGATTACCTTCTTATCGACCGACGAAAATATGTCGATATCGATCAACACAACATCAACTGAAACAATCGATGCGTCCATTTGCACATCGATCGATACAGTTTCCGGTCAGGTTTATCGTTCTTCCTTATTTAATTGAGTCTTTATGATTTATTTTTCAACAACTCGGCTGTTTTACACAGGGGACAGTGTAATTTAAGTCTGGGGGGGGGGAGGATGTTTACTGAAATTTATTTATTGTTAGTCTTATTTAAAATGTTTTCAAAAACTATTTTTATTAATCTCAAAAAGGGGATTATGATCGTTTTAAATTTTTTCTTATTATCTAACCACACTATAGCACCATTCTTAGTTTGGTTGACAGAAGAGTATACTAGAGATACTAAAGTGGATCATCCTGCCATTAGATCACACTTGCTTAGAAAGTTTGAAGGAACCGAAGCTGACCTCCAACCCTAATCTGACTAATTTGCTTGCTTTGGGGCTTGGTATACATTGGATCGGATTCCTCCTTCAGACCTGAAAGGTATAACTCTGTAAACTTTTGGTTTCCTTCTATCCTCTCTTTTATGAAAAAAAAATATTGAGATGATTTCCTCAGATGCAGAGGGGTAGGTACATTACCGATGACCCCACTATTCTAATTCAAAGGAATGATCACACATTGTGGAAGCAAGGGGTATTCGCTTACACTTTGTCAAAATAAAAAGCAATCAGGTGAACAAGATGCAAGGAATTAGTACTTGTCTTAGTTCACTAGCATTGAATTAGAAAAGATTCAGAAAAGAGGGATATAGGGAGAAAATAAGCCAAAATATGACAACCTGTTTACTCAGATACCTGCTGGGGTAAGAGTCCAAGTATCCTCTGATCGATACTCCCAAGGTAAAACCTGCACATTTATTTTATGTTAAGAAATGAGGTTAGTTAAGGATAATGTCAAGATAGTATTTGCTACGTTGTTGGTAGAATGGATTTGGTTGCTAAACTAGGATATGGTATATAAAATATCTCTGAGATTAGCACTTATTTGATGTGGTTGCAACATAGTAGAGGTGATAGTAGTAAGATAAAGATTTTGTGAGTCCCTGCTGTTTTCAAACCTCTTTTAGAGAGACTGCCTGTTTGTTTTGCTTGAGGACAAGCAAAATGGTAAGTCTGGGGGAGTTGATATACCATGGATTTTACCCATTAATAGCCATAGTATATAAGTGTTTTAAGATATATTTATTATTTTTTGGAGTATTTTTAGAGTATTTACAGGTTCCGTTCTGGAGAAATATGGTGATTTTGGTGTCTTTTGGAGCTTTTTGAGTGCAGAACTGCACAGACACATCATATGTTTAGCTATGGATGGAGACCTTCCACGTTAGATTTCGCCCATATTCTTACACAAGATAGAGGTTTGAGTTATCTTTCTAATTCCACCGGTTTGAGGTCAATCAGCATCTTATAGCAGAAGTTATGCTAATTTTACTGAAGAGTGGTCAGTCTGCCTCGCGAGAGAAAGCTGTCGAGAAGTTAAAGAAGAATCGATCGATGCAGCACACTTGGTGTCGATCGATGGAGATCCCAGAAAACGGGCTGAGTATATTTCAAGACCGACTTGAGCCCAAGAGTTACCACAAATTACCAGAGCTATTCTCCAGACCTATTCTTTCTAATTTACTCAAACAAATCCCAATGATTGCGCTTGTGATTTTTCTGCTCATATATATAATAATGTAACGTGTGTAACACTGCTTAGTAGTAAGGTCAGGTTAGTTTTATTCCGAAACAAGAGTTTCAAGGCAGTTGATATTGATTCTATATTATATTTACTGATGAAAAATTGTTTAATTGTAAAATAGGGAACACATAAGAGATACAGTCATAAGAGAGAATTTGAGCTTAGTTGATTTAAATATAACATATTTAACGACTGTGGATTTAAAGATTTGCCTTTTACCGGCAGTAACATGAGTTGGCGGGTACAAAAAATAACTTCTAGCATCAAAAGTTGGCTAGATGGAGGCACTGCAAATGATGATGGCTTGATTCCAACTTTGTAACTACAGGATTTAGAAATGGTTGAATCATACCATAGACCTATTGTTGTTTCCATCTAAAAACTAACAACAAGGTCGTGAAGATGCCAAGATCTATGGACATCTTCAATTAGTTCCAAGTACGGCAGAAAGCATGACATGCTGTGCTACAATGAGTATGCGTGTGAAAAGGCGGATCAAGATTAGGCGGAGCTGAAGACTTGAAGACTGGAATGGCGATCAAGTCGAAGTTAATTTGGATGTCACTAGGAGAATATGAGCGTAGAGATTCACCATGGAGAAAAGAAAAATCTGTCTTGGAAGTTCCAAAAAGACTTAGGAGAAGTGTTAAGAACCTTACATGTTTGGATATTTATGGAATATCTTTTGGGAGTCTAGCCTAGTTGATTGGCTATTGGGTATAAACAGTCATGCTTGACATGTGAATTAGTAGGCAAATAAACCGAACCTGAAAATCTGATCCGATAAAAATGAATCTGAACCGATCCGAATCCGATATAAATACCGAATGGATCTTGTTTTATGGTATTTCGGGTTATGGGTATTATCCGAACCAAACTCGAAAATAAATGGATATCCGCTAGACCCCGAAACATTCAAAATCCCAAAATAGAACATGTACCAAACATGATCTCAACTCCTAATATGTATCCAAAATACTACTTAAGATATTATTGAACATCTAAAATAATTATCTATTACATAAAGCTTGATGACTGGAAGTAGCGGATGGAGCCTGAAAGTTTTTAGATTTAGGTTTTCTTTTTATTGAATAATATTTCTCATTTCCTAAGAATTTAGTTTTTGTTTTATGCTTTCATTTATTTGGTTTTTTTTCTATCAATAGCTCTGTTTACTTTTCGTTTAATTGGAATGATCACGTTTGATGTTCCTTTCTTATTTTTGAATCAATTTTACTTATGTTTTGGTCATAAAATAGTTACAATGCAGGTATTTTAAATCCGAAGAACCGAATTTATTTATGTTTTAGTTACAAAGTAGTTACAAATCAAGTACTTTTAAACCAAAGAACCGATTGGGACGCGAACCCGAAAGTAGGTTCTTTGAAGACTTACTAACCTTGACCCGAACTGATCCCAAACAAACTAAACTTTCAAATAACTCAAATGAGGCTGATTTCGATAAACCCGAAAAACCAATATTAGATTGGATAAAACCAAAACCCGATTGGAACCCCAATGCTTAGGTCTATGTATTAATTAGGGTTGTAAGCAGAATTATATTCTTAGCATAAGCATGGTTTCATAAACGTGTAAGTGAGGGAAAAACAAAAATGGCTAGGGGAAGAGGTTCTATAATTTTGTATTTGGTCTTAACACGTGTGAGGCTAGAACAACAAGTCAGAGTGTTTGATCTTATTGAACGTTTTGTATTGAGATAAACTTCTAAGTTTGCTTTAAATAAATACTAGTAAATTCATATATTTTTGCAAACATATTTTCTGGTGTACTTTGTGTTAGAGTTTTTGTTATAGTTCTTGAATTTACAAGTGGAAAATGCGTTTTTGACAACCATTCTCTACCGGTTGAAATTCCATATTTTGACAAAATCAACTATCAAAACTAAGTGGGGTTCAAGCTAAATGTGTTCCAATTTCTCTTAGAATCCATATAGGCCCCCATTTTATATCTGAGTAGAAGAAAGTAACTACGAAAAATAAGTTCATACGAATGGAAGAGATATATGCTTTGAGGATTGAAATAAATCAAGCAAACAAAGATAGTCTGGATCTTTTGGGTTGAGCCAGTATGGTTTTGCATAAATCTAATGTACTACAATAGATATATAACCACAATATAAATTCAATCAATTGATACATAGTAATATGAGTCCAATGTAGATCTTTGAGGGGTGACACATGAATTTGCACTTACTTTAATTTGTATTGCTTGCCAACGACTCCTCAAGTTCAGACATGTATTCAAAAAAGCGTAATGATAAGCAACCAACGATGACTCTTATTGCTTATCGGGGGACAGATACAATCTCAAGTGCCTTGAGCCATCACATCTAGAGAACAAACTCTCTGAATCTGTTTTCTTGAAGAGATGAACTCAACAAGTCTTTTGAACAAGTATAACAAAACCGATCCACAACAAGAAAGGTAAAGCTTCGTGTTTGGACTCACTTTCCCTAATCCTCTGCTCTCTAATTGCCATCTCCTTTCCTCTTGCCAGCTCAACAACCAGCAGCCACGGCATTCACTATCTATAATTTAATCCATACTATGTGCAGCAAATTTGCTAATGGGTATGGGATTGCAAAACTTTATCATACTTTTTCCTTTCTTATGCAGTGAACTTTTACTTTCACCTATCATACATAAGTTTAAAAGTTATCACTTACTAACTGAGGGACACTTTAGCCTCTTCAGGAGGTTTACACTTCGGACAAGGGAATTTAATACCTAATGGTGGTGGCGACGATAGGTATTACCCAGTTTTCACATTGTTTCTTTACTTGTTACGGGTCACTGCTCCGGATAACATTACATGCGTGATAATTTTGGAAACTATAACAATGTCATACTCTTTTCATAAATGTTCTATCATTCTTCTCAAACAACCTATGATAATACAAATGATGTTTCTTCCCCTTTGCAAGAACATTTACCATTCTTAAAGACATGTACTCGATTCCCATCTCTTACAGTTATATTCTTATCCACTAGCCGGGTGATGAGAGACACAAAGTCATGGCAGTCCTTACACAAGATCTTGTTCTTAACAACATGAACTGGAGTTTGTGCAGATGTATATACAAGACCAAACACAGCAGCTTGCTTCGCGCTGTGATAGCTTGCGTTTTCATTACCTCGGTACGTGAAGCCTGACCTTTCGATCTCACTCTTTATCCATTCTATCTCTGCGTAAATCCCCTTTGTTTTCTCAACTTCAGTAACATCCTCACTGAAAAACCTGTGAACTTTTCCTTGAACCTCCACAGAGCTCTTCCCTAGCTTCTTACTCAAACCTCTCTGACTCATCAAATATCTAGTCTTTTGGGCCAACTCTGGTTTTCCAGATTCTTCATATAAGTCTGCCAAGAGAATGTACAAGGCTGGATCATATGGTGCAAGTGCTAAGCCTCTGTTAGCCATATCTTCTCCTAGAGATAAATTTCCATGGTATCTACAAGCTCTCAACAATGTTTTGAAGATCAGAGCATTTGGTCTCAACGGCATTGTCTCTAAAACTCCTCTTGCTTCCTCTACACGTCCTGCACGACCTAAGATATCAACTAGATGAACATAGTGCTCTACCTGTGGCTTAATGTTATGAATCTCTTCTATTGATCTGAAATATTCAAGACCCATCTCGGTTAATCTTCCGTTACTACAAGCAGAGAGCAATATCAGGAATGTTACTGCATCAGGCTCGGTTCCTTTCATCCTCATCTCCTCAAAGGCAGATAGAGCAGAGGAAATACAACCGTTTGATGCCAATCCTGAGACCAACCCGTTCCAAGAAACAACGTCGGGCGTAGCTATTTCTTCAAAAACTCTCTTTGCATCATCCAAGCTACCACATTTAGCGTACATGTCAATCAAACTATTGGAAACCGAAACCGAGCTAGAATACCCTGATTTCACGGAGTAGCAATGAAGATGTTTCCCAGCTTCAAGAGCTCCCAGGTTTGCTGAAGCTGAGATAAACCCTGGTAAGCTCAACTGATCCGGTTCGATTCCATCACCAAACATATGTTTGAGGACACTTAGTGCCATTTCATGCTTGCCCAGCTCGTTAAACCTTGTAACCAAGCTCATGTACGTGATATTATCTCTCTTGTCCATTGACTTAGCCACGTTCCAGGCATCAGCTACCTTATCCGAGCTGGCATATGCATCCACGAGTGAATTCCCTACGATGATTTCACCATCTAAGTGTCGTCTGAGTAGATATCCATGAATCTCTAATACTCTCCTTATATATTTCAATTTGCCGCAGACCCGGAGAACACCAGATAGAGTAACAACATTGGGTTCCACTCCTTGTCTTACCATTTCCATCAACACTCCAAAACATTCTTGTTCAGACCCGTGATCAACAAGACCTAAGAGTAATGTTGTCCAAGAGACGACGTTTGGTGAGTTCATTGCTCTGAAGACTCTCAAAGCTTCTACTTCTGATGTAGAGCACTTCATGTACATATCTAAAAGTGCATTTCCAACATCAGTACTATCTTCTAATCCGACCTTAATTGTAAGTGAATGAATCTGCTTCCCTAAATCCAACGATTGGACAGAGGAGCATAAGCTCAACATTGCAGAGTATGTGAAGTTATTTGGTTGCAAACCCAAACCTCGCATCTCAAGAAATGTAGAAACAGCTTCCTTGACCTTCAAGTTTCTTACAAACCCTGATACCACAGACGTCCAAAGAAACTCATCCTGTTCTCCTGTCGAATTCAACACTCTTATAGAATCTTCCATCTCAGAGAACCTCGAGTAGAAATCAACAAGTGCTGTCTTCAGTACCACATTCAGCAGAACTCCACGAACGATGATGTTGCTATGAATGACTTTACCAAACTCCAAACCGAGAAAGGAAGAGGCGCCTAAAAGCTTAACGAAGGTAAACTCGTTAGGAGGAACACCAGCTTCAACCATCTCAGAGTACAACTCCAACGCCTCCTTCCATTTACGAGCTTCAACTAAAGAAGATATCATCATGGTCCACGATATGGTATCAGCACTTTTCTTACAAGAACTAAACAGTTCACGAGCTTCCTTAAGTTTCCCGCACTTGGAATACATATCAGTCAAGCTGCTTCCTATAACAGAGTTTCCCAAAAACCCAGTTTTTATAACAGATCCATGAACTGGAGCTCCGTAGTTAAGGTCTCTTAAACCAGCACAAGATCTTAACACTGAAGAAAACGTGAACTCGTTCGGAACTGTTCCCGAAGCCACCATTTCTTCAAACAAGAAAAGCGCGGACGCAGGCTCTTGGGTTTTGGTATAAGCAGAGATCATAACTGTCCAGGCAAAATCGGTTCTTTGCGGCATTTCATCGAACAGTTTACGCGCATTCAAGATTCCATCTGTTTTTAAGTAAAGACTCAGAAGATTGTTGCATAAGTCGAGATTATCTAGAAGACTCAGCTTGATTACGGGACAGTGGATGTGTAAACCAATTCGCGATGAACTCGATTCACAGAAGGAAAGGATCCGAACGCATGATTGTTGAAGATGATTACTCAGTTCGTTGCTGCGAGAGAGAAATGCAGAAGCTGCTACTTTGCTCGTCATTTTTTTTTCTTGTAGAGAAAGGGCGAAACTTTGATGGTCACGTCATAGCTGTTCAAGTTTCATTTCGACACCTCAAACACCGCGCATGGCATTTAGAAAGACACACTCTCTTATACACGTAACAGGAACGTCAGAATATGTACAATGCTTGTCTGAAATAAAAAAATATAAATCTCAGGGCTTATTGCTAGACCAGGCATCTGTTTGAAATACGATAGAATGCCTGTTTTGTTTTTCAGAGTGACCAACGGCAAAAAAAACTGTAGAATGTTGTTTTCCAGAATTTTACACAATTCAGTTCACTCAATAATGGGCCACCTGTGAAAAGAGTACATAAAGTTGAAGATACATTCTAGGCCCCTTCTAAAAGTCCGATTTGCTAACACTTAAATGATACGGCTATTTGATCAGTTGAGCTCTGACCATGTTTGGAATCACGTTTTTCTTTTGTTTCTGATAGAAATTTTGAAAATTTTATAGGACAAATTAAATTGCTCATTTGAATGGTAGTGTATTTTGTGATAGCTATTTTGTGATAGCCATTTCAACTATGATAGCTATTTTGTGATATTGTATCTTCGGAAATCATTGACTAGGATTCATTTGAATAGTTCAGAGACGGTATATATAAGCGTTGTTCTTATATCAAAAGACTCTAAAGAGACGGTATATATAAGCGCTGTTCTTATATCAAAAGACTCCAAGCATATGTTTGGAAGGTTAAAGCACCCCCGAAGATGTGCCATCTTATGTGGCAGGTTATATCGGGACAGGTTGCTGTTACGAGTGCACTGAATCATAGGCACATGAGATGCGATAACTTATGCCCGCGATGCGGTGAACCGGATGAAACAATTGCACATGCAATTTTCCAATGCCCGCCGGCATTACAGGTGTGGGCCTTAACATCTATACCCACCAGCTTATCTCTGTTCCCCTTAGAGAGCACATATGCAAACATGGACTATTTATTCTGGCGGAAGAAGGCCATATGTGGACCAGAATTAGACAGGGATCCTTATCCCTAGTTAATATGGTACATTTGGAAGGCTCGGGATGATAAGTTGTTTAGAGGAATAGATAGGGATCCTCTGGAACTGGCCCGGTATGCAGAGAGTGAGTGTCTTGCCTGGTACCAAGCTAATGAGCAGGAAATCGAGAATACACAAGTGATCGGCGATACTGAAAGCCAGGTCATAAGCCTACGCGATATCTGCATGATAGATGGTTCTTGGACCTCTATTGACCAATTTTCTGGTTGTGGCTGGGACTGGAAGGACAGTAGGGGAGATAGCCAGCTGATGGGGATGCGCAATTTTAGCAGAGTGGAGTCGGCCTTGCACTCTGAGTTGGAAGCACTGCGGTGGGCAATGGAGAACATGCTTCAACATTCGCCATGTCAGAGCTTTGGGACGGATTGTAAGGATTTGTTAAAAATGCTAAAGAACCCCCATGGATGGCCAAGTTTTTCGACGGAGCTGGAAAGGATCTCGACGTTGAGGATTTGCTTCCCAGACTTCAAGATTACTTATGTACCTAGATCTCTTAATGCTGTGTCCGATCATTTAGCTAAGACTGCCCGATCGTTTTATCGTGAGCTCATGTATGTTGGTTGTTCTATTCCGGTTTGGATTCTCAGACCACCTCAAGCTTGAGTAATAGATCAGCCTTTCGTTGTCAAAAATAAAAAATAAAAAATAAGCGCTGTTCTGGACTTTTATCATCACAATTATTCTGTCTCTTCTTTTTTTTTAAAGCATCGTTTAGTGACTATGAATTTTCGTTTGTTTTCTTTCCGGTAACAATGTCGCAGTCTCAATGGATGGTGAAATCGGGTGGCAAGAAAGTGGAGGTGGCTAAACCAAGGCTGAGGATTTCGGCTCCACGGTTTGATAATACGGAGATTATTGCTCAGTATGCTAATACGGTGATTGGTAGATGCATGAATTCTCCCAAGCAGGACATGAAGACTCTTCTTTTCATGCTTCCCAGGATTTGGCAAGTTGAGGGACGTGTTACGGGTACGATCTGAGATTGGGATGTTTTCAATTTCAATTCAAGTCGGAGGAAGATATTCTTGAAGTGCTGCGAATGGAACCCTTCCATTTTGATTATTGGATGGTCTTGCTTGTTCGTTGGAAATCAGTTCTAAATGTGCTGTGAACAAACGCGAATCAACTCGAAGAAAAATAAAGAGAGCAAAACAAATTGAGTCAAATACCTGTTTTAGGGCTTGTATATTATTCTATGAATAAATAACTTTACAATCCCTTAGACCCATATTTATAGTAGCCTCAAAAACTCGATTTCCTTTTCCCTATAGGAATACGTTCTTCTCTATAAAAATGTACATTTTCCTAAACCAAAAAAGGCATATCATACCGGGGGGGGGTCTGCGGCCATGTACCCCCCAACGAATGATGGGCTTTTAATGATGCACAAAGATTTACGACACATCCAGATGTCAACTATCCGTCCAAGATTACGTTTTGGGTGAGAATTCTTGATGTGCCTCTTTAATATTGGCGGCGTCCACATTTCAAGGTGTGGGAGACGCTATTGGGGCGGTTCAAGGTGAGGTTGATCTTGTGGAAGGAAGGGTTCGAGTTGAGTTAGATAGTCTAAAACCTCTTGTTTTTTTCGTGAAAGTTGACTTTGATGAGGGGGTGGAGCTTGTGGTAAATTTAAGGTTAAAAAGCTCTTTAGTTTCTGTAGAGAGTGCTATTGTATGACTCACGAGCAAGCAAGGTGTCCTAATTTGGCACCGACTGTGGAAGAAGGCTCTGTTATACCGGGAATAGCAGCAGACCAGGGTCCTCAGGTCATGAGCTACAAGGCCGCGGTTGCAAATGGTAAAGACGATGATGTGGAGCTTCGAGAGGGGCAGCAGCGGATCTCGAGGGGGATAAAAGACAATGGTAAAGGCAAGGGTATTGCTCGAGAAAGGTCTGGATCTTTCGGACATGATGGAGCGTATCGTGCCTACAAGGAAAGATTCCCAAGGAATTTTGGAGAAGGCTCTTCTCGTGATGGTAGGCGAATGGGTACTGGAGCTCCACGAGAGCAGTATGATCGTTTAGCCATTAATCCTAGAGGCATTCAGAATTTGAAGAATGGTCAGGAGGGTCAAAGCTTGAGTAACTCCCAGAAGTTGATGATGGATGCCTTTAAGGGGGTTTATGACTATCCTAAGGAGGTTTACACAAAGAAGGGTACGGCTGGGGAGATAGGCGGTCACTCCACGGCATGGAAATATTTACAGTTTAACGAGAAGGCAAGTGGGGACATGGCTATAGATGGAAACACACAGGACTTGGAGAAAAGCATTGAAGAAATCTCGGTATCTTTGAATGGTACTCAACCTGGTGAAGATGGAGTTATAAAACTGAGCTTATGGAACAAGACGATCATTCAGCTTTGGATGATGCGAACCTAATGTTGGATGGTGTGCTTCTCTCTCGGAACTTCTTGATGAGGATTGGGAGGAAGGTGAGCTCCCATAGTTAATGGAGGATGTTGAGGAGGTGGCTATTGATGGTATTTCAGATGAATTACCGAAGCCTCAGATGATCGTGGAAAACCAGCATGGAAAAGAGGATATTGGGGTGAAAGTTTCAGAAAAGAAAGGTCTGAAGCCTGGAGCTCTTGGGGGTGCAACCAGAAAGTTCCTTGTCCAGAGTCTGCTGTCACCTCGGAAGAATAAGATCTCAAAGGTTCCTGCAAAGACTAATGATAAAGGTAATAATAATGGTAATGGTGATGGAAAGAAGGCTAATAATAAATCTAAGGATGGTGCAGCCTAATGGAACATTTTCAAAGGGGCTAGAGTTTCTTTTTCTATTCTGATTTTTCAGTTTATTAATAACGGATTATGATGTAAAATTCTGGTTCAAATTTGTTTTCTCGTTAATGGGTTGGGACTCATTTGGTCTCATAATTTTCTGTTGTTTGGTCAAAACCTTCGGTTCTAGTTGGCTCTTGCTTTGAATAAAATGATCAATTGGTGGTCTCATGATGGTGTTTTTCTTATACTGTGGAGTATCTGAGATATTATGTCACAGATATGATCCTTATATGATTTGATAGTTTTAAAGGTTTTATGGGTAGCTCTTTGGAGTGTTCTTCAAGTGTGGCTGTATATCTCTACTCTCGTTGGTATGAGGTATATATGGTTGCTTATGGTTTGGTGGCTTGGTGTGAGGCGGTTAAGAGCTGAATGTTGGGGAGGATCACTGTGGTACTATTAGTTCATTTTGTGGTAAGAGAGGCGTTTGTCTTAAGGTCTGTATTTTTTTTCTAAGTATTGGAGATATAACGTGGAAAGGCTTGTTTGTATTGATGTATTATTGCTTTGGATGATATTTTGGACGGTGTATGCCATATGTACTATTATTTATAGTTTACTCTATGTTTTGGAGATTTCTAGATGGGAATATCATACGAAATGTAGGTACGCGTGGAGCTGTATGTTGGTCTTTTATGGGGTTAGCGGCCTGTTGAGTTGGAACCGGGAAGTGTTTAAGAAGTTTCTGGTTTATGTGTGGTGGTGTTATTGGAAATATTTTAGTACTATTACGGTTGGACTATATAATGAGGAAGGAAATTGGACTAACTCTGAAACTGAAGTTGAGAGAGCTGCAGTCAATTATTTTCAGGATTTGTTTCAATCGACTTATCCATATAACTTTGATGGTTTTTTAGAGGAAGTTCCAGAATTGAAAAATGTGGAGCAGAATAGGGTTCTAACGGCTTTGGCAACAGGGGATGAGGTGAAACAGGCTTTATTTATGATTCATCCAGAAAAAGCTCCAGGATCCGATGGGATGACTGCTTTATTTTATCAACAGTCTTGGTCGATAATTAAGGAAGATGTGGTTAATATGGTTAATGATTTTCTAAGATCAGGGAGTTTTTATGATAGACTTGACATGACAAATATATGCCTGATTCCTAAGACAATCATGCCAAGTCGGATGACAGAGTTACGACCTATAAATTTATGTAATGTTGGTTATAAAATTATCTCGGAAGTATTATGTCAGCAGCTAAAATTTTTCCTCCCTACTTTAATATCAG